ACGGGCGACCCTGTGTAAAAAATGGGCGACCTGCCCGAATTTTTTGAGCAATTCCGACTCAGAAACTGTAGAAGCGAGCGACCGCCCAAAAAACTGGGCGACCGCCCGAATTTTCTTATCCAAATGCTGCAGAAGTGGGCGATCCGCCTGAAAAATGGGCGACTCGCCCAAAACACATGGAATTGAAAATTTGCACCCCGAAACCATCTTTTCGACTACTCACGCCATCCTTGACACGCCTCAAAGTCCAAGAGGGGATACATGTGTTGATTTGGACCCCGAACATGCTCCGCGTGGAATTAAAGCCCCTACCCCAAGGGCTTAGGACTGTATTCAAGACACCTATTGGGATGACTCCATTTCCGCTCGTCTACGGAAAAGTCTGTCATCTACCGGTCGAGTTGGAACACAAGGCATATTGGGCGATCAAGGCACTAAACTATGATTGTAAACTGCAGCGGAGAAGCGAGTCTTACATCTCCGTCACTTGGAAGAAATTCGTTTGGACGCATATGAGAATGCGCGGATCTACAAGGAGCGAGCAAAGAAGTGGCACGACCGACATATTCTCCCTCGAAGATTTAAACAAGAACGTTACCTCTCATGGGGCCGTGGAGCTCGACAATGGAAAAGGCGGATCTTTCTTGGTCAATACACAAAGGCTGAAACCGTACAATCCAGGAAGTATCAACCAGAAGGAGGTACCTCTATACTTTCCCTCTCCCTTATCGATTGAATAACATGACGGTCTAGCTATGACCTTAAACTAGCATCCTCGGGTAACTCCGAGATGTACATTCTCCATTCTCCAATTCTTCGTTTTTCCATCTTAGTTTACTTTTGGGAATACCTTTATCTTGCTTCCAAAACATTTCTCCAAGGATAACTCTAAAATGAAGCTCAATTTGCAAAGTGGAAGAATTATAAACAATGGCCGACCCGCTCGTTTTTTCGAGCGGTCGCTCATTTGTGGAACGAGAGTTCTGAAATTTGCTCAGAGAAAATGAGCGGCCAGCTCGTTTTCTCGAGCGGTCGCTCATTTTCGTCTGCAAAAAAAAAAAAAAAACTGAACAAAAACCTTCTCCTACACCCTCACTCTTTTGCATTCATTTTAACTAACATAGCATAACATTGTAGTTTCTCTCACATTGGATAGGCTTCATTGGATTACAACAAAGAGAAGAGAAAGTCGAAGTGGAAGATCACTCGATCGGAAAATGGTGGTAACAAGGGTT